ACTTGTGCTAGCTAACTAGAACCATTTACAAAGGCTCAACGAAGCATACAAAAATCTTATCGAGAAGACCGAAAGTTAACAACTTCCAAAGCAGCTATAAGCGCGGCTCGATATCGATACCGAGGAGACAGTCGGTGTCTAAAAAACTACTAATCGACATTAAGGATAGTGTGGTCCTTCTCATGGAAGTGAAAGAGCATGAAGAATAGAACCCGAAACTTTCGAAGAGATAATCAATTGTTGAGGGAGAGCCGTCAAAAAGCCTCTTGTTACGCTCTTCCCAAATCGGATATACCTGTGATGGCCAACGAAACTCATCTCATTCGGGCTTCCAGATTGTTCGCCTTATTGAAAGATCGCGAATGGCACTAATGAGGGTAGACATTCTTCTATTAATTCGGAGCTAATGTCGAATCCGACCCCACAAACGAGTCGTGCAAGGGCACTCAAAGAACAGATGACGATGACACTCGGGAGCTTGCCTACAAAGCGAACAATGGGTATTGTCTAAGATAAAACGAAGACGATAAGCTCGTTTTGAGCTTTTTGTTAACCGCTAATTAGAGTATAAAGGCGTTTCGTGATAGCGTCCATTGCTCCCAAACTACCCGGTTCAATTAACCAAGGCGCCCGTGGGGCACAAACCAATATAGGCGTTACGGATAAATTTTTTGCTCTCCCAAGCTTCCAATCTCCCTACCAACCGAGCATTGTCCCCAACTTTCACTTTTAGCTGGTCTCCGATAGAAAGAATGCCTTCCACAAGGGGGATGCCATCCGATTCATTTGGATGTCCCAAACGAAAAATCCTTCAAGTAGAAATGATGGACCCATTGGATCCAAATCGAGTCCGTTTTTCGATGGATATCCCAAAGTTGCCTAGCTAGGAAGCACCGATAGAGTGTTTTTAGGTCCTAGAGCGTCAAGCCCCCTTCGTCTTCTGGATAACTCAAGCACCTTCCAAGAAACCGAGTGTTGAATGACATTTTCAAATATCCCATGTCCAAAGAAATTTCGACGGATGCGAGTGATTTAGGAGATGACTATTAACGAAAGAGGAAAGATGGCTAACCGGAATTGAATAATGCTCACGAGGACCGAACGCGAAGCTCGAGGTGGCCTACATACGAGAGATGCTTACCCAACCGGGCTTGTATTGCCGACTCCAAGCTCCGTAACGAGTGGAAAGAACTGGCCGGCAAGAAGGCGGTCGGGACTTAGTGGGACCCCTAAATAATCGAAGGGAAAGGAACCTTCAATAAACCTTGTATCTCGGAGGAGAGTCCGCTAAGGTCGTCATTGATACCCCCAAAATAAAGTGATGATTTGGACTTATTGATGGTGAGGCTAGAAGTTCGACCAAACTTACGCAACTCGTGAAGATAAGCACTCGCACGTAGGCTCTATCTCCGCGATAAAAGAGCATGATATCATCCGCAAACACAAAGTGACCGATTCAATGAGGCCCACACTCGTGGATGGAAATGAAAATCGGTCGTTGTGATAGAAAGCCGAAGCATATGGGAGAAGTATTCCATACACACTATGAAGAGGTAGGGAGAGAGAGGGTCTCCTCGTCGAATCCCACTTTGGCCTTGGAAGAAGCCAAAGAGACTACCATTTACCAAAACAGAATAAGAGGGAGTCTCCACACGAGTCATAACCAAATGAACAAAAGCATTGGGGAAGCCAAGGTGTAAAAGGAGATCTCATAGAAATGTCCGCTGAACCGAATCAAAGGCTTTTCCGAAATCCACCTTGAGAAGGCATTGCGGGGAGGCATGCTTCATACCATACTACCTAAGCGACTCCTATAGAAGATGAATATTGTCCAACACTTCCTCCCACCTAAGAAAGCATTTTGCATAGGGCTAACGACATCAACCAAAGCACTAGCTAACTCTGGAGGAGAGGATCTTCGAAATGACTTTGTACATCACATTGCAATAAGATATCGATCGATAATCCATAAGAGAAGAGGCATTAGCCGATTTGGGGATTAGAGCAAATGATCGAATGGTTGACTTGCTTAAGGAGCCGACTCGAGATAAAGAAATTCTTTATCATAGCATAAAAGTATTCCCCCACTACACCCCAAACGTGTTTAAAAAATAGAAAAGAGTAGCCATCCGGACCTAGAGCTTTGTCGCTATCAATCCCAAATAAAGTGACCCCGATAGTCTCATCGAAAACCGAGGCTAGAAGCAAGGCTTGAGCGCTAGCATAGAGGCAAGGCCCTTGTGAGATTACCTCGGCCTCAAGAGGAATGGAAGCCTTAGCCGAGCCAAACAGAGATTTGTAGTAGTCAACAAATAGGCCCCCCACAACAAGCAAGTGAAGTGGTAAGCTACCTATTAGTGCCCTCAACGGCGGCTATGAAATTCTTCTTGTAGTTTTAGCTCATGAGAGTGTGAAAAAATCTACTACCCTTGTCGAGTCTCTTCTAAGTATTTGCACTTAAGCTTTTGACTTAAGAACATTTTCTCGACCGACTTAAGATTAACCAAATCCAGTCGTAGGTCGCGTTCCTACTCTAGAAGGCCGCTCGTTATCTCTATCATTCCGTAGGGCCTATTGGTGACTCTCGAGGACAGTGGCATCTCGGGCAACTCCTTTCGAAATATGATCGAAATGGAGCTTATTGAGCGTCTTCAATGGGCCTTTTAGAGCTTTGAGCTTTCGACACAAGACAAACATTGGATCGCCAATAGCATCGCAACGGTAGTAGCTAGAGAAAACTAGCATGGTGTGCCCACATATTAAAAACTTGAAGTGCCTCCGGTCGGGGATAAGCCGACTATCGAGGTGAACCCATGCTCGAGCATGATCGGAGAAGCCACCGGACGACCGAACCGGATAGAGGCCGAGAGATGGGATATGGACCAAAGTGGATTTACGAGGACTCTTTCAATCTTGGTCCGGATATTACCACTATTCCAAGTAAAGTGGCTACCCGAATATGTGAGATCATGGAGACCCGGATCCAAGCGACGAGAACGAAATTCCATTGTCTCATAAGTAGTGCCTATAGATCCATTATGCTTGTCGGCTTGTGAGAGAATGGAGTTAAAATCTCCAAACACAAGCCACAAATAATGAGGATTCCATGATCGAAGGTCGGCCCATAACGCTCGACGTTGAATAATCATGTTGTAGCCATACATAAAAGTAGCATGAAACTCTCGCTGCTCGGACGAGGCCGTGAATGCTAACATTGAGACCTTGAAAAGAAGCATCTAGTAGATCAATCCAAACCGTGTCGGGATTCCAAAATAGGATAATTCGGGCTTTAGTGTCGGCCATGGCATTGGAGACAAACCTCCACTTCTTAAATCGAAATCCGTGCATTTGAGAAAGCTTGGCAAGACCGAGCTTGGTCTCAACCAAAGTATAAACATCGATCCTTTTCTCGTCTCATGAGGCCGGTGACCTCATGTTGCTTGAGGGGACTATTGAGGCCCCTCACATTCCAGCCTAAGAATGATCATATGACAACCGAAGAGGTAAGAACCCCTTAAGCACTTTGTGTAACCTTTTGACTTCGGCTTCTCCTCCTATCCGATAACTCATGTGAGTGAACATTAAAGCAATTGGTCGGTGGGGTCGTTGGTATAACGAGAGCTACCATAACCTCCTCGGTCCTTGTCTCGTCCCCCAAGACCTCACTATCATGCCTCACAACACACCGACCCCGACGACGCTCGAGCCTCACCGCCCCCGCACCCTATCCGTCCTAGATAACCCGACCCGTCCGGGTCTCATCGTTAAGTTCCATATGTTCACTAACGGGGCTCGCCACTATAGCTTTACCCTTGTGATTCCGAGTAGCCAATTATGACGCCGTGACCACCCGATCCTCTTGTTGAGGTTGCACTTAAGCTTGCGATGCGGACCGATCGGACTCTAGAGGTCGGAGAGACAACCTTGTATTAACTCCGGCTTTGCAAGAAAATGTCCGCCATTCACCTAAAGCAACCGCTACCTCAAAAACCATGGGGTCTAGTCGGGGTCTCCCTAATGAATTCCGATCCTAGACTTCAACAAGCAGTAGATCCCATGTGGTCGGCAACACTATGCCCGGTTTGGCTTACGGCTACGACCCCATGCACACTAGGCTCGGCTCGGCTTACGGGCACGGCCCCATTCACAGCCTTGCCATTTGCCGGACTACCCGCCACTAGATGCTTCTCACAAGAGGCGAGTGGAGTGACCCAAAACTCGATAATTTTTACAATGGGTAGGAAGGGTTTCATAGACAACGGGTTGAAGAAGGGTGGAGCCATTTGGTAGCCCAATTTGTATTACCCGCGGTAACTCCTCCATTATGTTGAGCTCAATCAACACTCGGGCATACAAGATCCATTCGATTAGGAAATGAGCCTATCACACCGAATTGGCTTACCAAGTAAGCCGGCCACTTTCGAAAGACACAAAGGAGACCAAGCACTTGAGGGGAAGGTTCAAAAGCCTCACCCAAATTAGAACCAACAATATTTCCTTAGTCGAAAAATCGAAGAACTCGTGTATGGGCCGCAACAACAAAGGCCGACTAAATATCAATAGGGGCCCCCATTCAACACCAAAGGTCTATCTTCCTCCAAGGCAAATTTATATACAAGCCAACCCGAATCATGAATGGAGAAGGTGGCCCGACATTTCCAAGTACTAGCAATAATTCCATTAAGTGCTCGAAAACCCGGAGACTTCCCCGTAATATACCTAATCAAGCAATATTTTAACACACCATGGATCATCATTAAGCAATACACATGTTTTACTTTCGGTAATAGTAGTAAAGTGTGTGAGCTTAAGGCATAAATTTGAATCTGCGATTAGTGGCAAATAAATCTCTCTATTTGGCGACAAGGTTTTGAGAAGTACCGGTTCAATAAGTCGCGTGGAGCCACTTTGGTCACTAGTGAGAGGGCAACCGGTTCTAGCAATAGAGGGGCTTCGTTTCCGTCCCATTGCTCGAGTTTCTATCTAGAATGGAGCCTCTATTATGCTCGAGAAAGGGTCCGAGCACGAGTAGAAGGATTGCCGGCCTTAGCAACCGTTTGGGCGGGAGATTGAAATTTTGAATTTTTTAAGCGAGAACTCAAAATTTTACCTAGATTTGAATCCTCCTTGTTTCGTTGCTTCCAATTCGATTTCTCTTCATTAGAACATGATTCAACCTCTACATTATCACGTGAAGGAGGAGGATCAACAAATTTTAACCCGACGATCTCCGCATTTTACAAATGCGGAATGGTGTAACGTAAATAGAACCGAAGGAAGAGTGTCCAAGGATGCGAGCGAGAGCTATCACCTGGAGCGTCCGAGAGTCTTATTTCCTTCTTATGGGAGTCGAGTTTTTCTTTTTCTTAGCCATAAGAGTTGGGATGAGAAGGAGAAAAGGAGAAGGGAATGAATTGAGGAGAGAGAAAAAATCGAAGGAGATAGGGGAAACGGGAGGAGAGATGGAGAGGAGAGAGGGAGGGGGTAGAAACGATGATGAAGAAGAAGAGAAAGGTGGCTAGGAAGGAAGCTAGAGGGTTCGGGCGTGAAGAGTCGGTGGGGGCGCCGACTAAAGCTCGGAGGGAAAAATCTCCATAGGAGGAGAGCATCTCTCTCTTCTTTCTCTCCTAGGACGCACTCTACCGAGAGCTTTTTTTTTATATTTAAATGTAAGTATATAAATCAAAAGATAAAAGAGCTAGAGAACTAGCCGTAGTCACATATACGGGATATACAAGTGGATGGGAATAGGCTCCCCTAGAAACAAAGCAAAATAGCTAGAACTAGGAGGTTGTTCAAGGAATCGACATTATAGATTCCAAGAAAAACCCATCATTAAACCTATGCTAGCTAACTGGAACCATTTACAAGGCTCAACGAAGCATACAAAATTCTTGCTGAGAAGATCAAAAGTTAACAATTTATAAGGAAAATATGATAACTAATCCACATGAAGGATAGTGTGGTCTTTCACATGGAAATGAAAGATCATGAAGAAAAGGACTTGGAACTTCCCGAAGAGACATTCAATAGTCGAGGTTGAGCCATCAAAAAGTCTTTTTCGCGCTCCTCCCAAATCGGATATATTGTGATGGCTAACGAAACCCGTCTCATTTGGGCTTCCAAATTGTTTCACCTAATAGAGAGACCTCGAATGGTGCCGATGAGGGTAGACATGCTCCGGATCGGCCGATCAAAGCGGCCTTGGGTCCAAAAAGAGGGGTTATGTCCCGTCTTCGATTCACGAAATAAGTAAAACAACGTTAAAATTAGTGGTGTTTCACCTTCGTCAAAGCTCCCACTTATCCTACACCTCTTAAGTCATTTCACAAAGTCGGACTAGAGTCAAGATCAACGAGGTCTTCTTTCCCCGCTCATTCCACCAAGCTCATTCCCTTGGCTATGGTTTCGTTGGATAGTAGACGAGGACGAGTGAGAATCTCGTTAATCCATTCATGCGCATCACCAATTAGATGACGAGGCATTTAGCTACTTTAAGAGAGTCATAGTTACTCCCGCCATTTCCCACGCTTGGTTGAATTTTTCACTTTGACATTCAAAGCACTCGGGTAGAAATCACATTGCGTGAGCATCGACAAGGACCATCACAATGCTTTGTTTTAATTAAACAATCGTATTTCCCTTGTCCATACCGGTTCTAAGTCGATTGTTCGAAGTCCGGGGAAGGCCCTCGAAGGGGCTGTTCCTAGTCCGTCCCTCGATCGGCACGCGATGGCCCACTCTCACCACGAGAGTAGCTCGAGCACTCCGTCGACAACCAATGGGTTTGGGACCGAGACCCCCGAGCCCGACCCTCGCAGCCAATCCTTTTCCCGAGGCTACGGATCCATTTTGCCGACTTTCCTTGCCTACATTGTTCCATCGACTAAAGGCCGTTCACCTTGGAGACCCGATGTGGTTATGAGTATGACCGGGGTGGGAGGCACTTGGTCCTCTAGATTTTCAAGGGCCACCGAGGGCACATCCGACACCACATGATGATGTGACGTGCGATGCTCTTCTAGCCACTCGGACCCTATCTCCGACTAAGTCGTTTCTAGAGTGGGCGGGTCGTTAAATAGAAAAGATAACTCTTCCCGAGGCCCCTATCAATGTCTTCAAACTCCCTAATGTTGTCGTTAGTCGCCACATCCCGGTTCGGGAATTTTAACTCGATTCCTTTTCGAAGCTCACATGCGAACGCACTATTGGACGGGCTTCCCCGTCTCTTAGGATTGACTAACCCATGTGCAAGTGTTTTTCACATAGAACCTTTCCCCTCTTCGACCTTCAAAGTTCTCATTTGAATATTTGCTACTACCACCAAGATCTGCACCGACGGTCGCTCCATCCGAGCTCGTGCCTCGGGTTTTATAACGACCGTCGTGCCCTCCTACTCATCGGGGCCTGGCGCTTGCCCCGACGGTCGAGTATAGGTCGCGCGCTTCAGCGCCATCCATTTTCGGGGCTAGTTGATTTGGCAGGTGAGTTGTTACACACTCCTTAGTTGATTTCGACTTCCATGACCATCGTCCTGCTATCTTAATTGACCAACAACATTTATGGATTCTAGGTTAGTGCACAGTTGGACATCATAACCCGGCTTCCGGTTCATCCCGCATCGCTAGTTCTGCTTACCAAAAATGACCCACTTGGAGCTCGTGATTTCGTGGCACGGATTAACGAAGCAACCGCATCGTCTTACCTATTTAAAGTTTGAGAATAGGTCGAGGGCGTTGCACCCTTAATGCCTCTAATCATTGGCTTTACCCGATAGAACTCGTGCCGAACTTCGGCTATCCTAAGGAAACTTCAAAGGGAACCAACTACTAGACGAGTTTGATTGGTCTTTCACCCCTATACCCAAGTCAAAAGAATGATTTGCACATCGGTATCGCTGCGGGCTTCCACTAGAGTTTCCTCCGGCTTCACCCCGCTCGGGCATAGTTCACCATCTTTCGGCTCTTGACGGGCATGCTCTCACTCAACCCTTCTCGGAAGATTAAGGCCGATCAGCACTATAAACCTCGATAGGATCCCGCCAATCGGCTTCCTTATGCCTCATGGGTTTACTCGCTTGTTGACTTGCACACATGTCGGACTCCTTGGTCCGTGTTTCAAGACGGGACGAATGGGGAGCCCACGAGCCGATGCTCGGAGCACACCGGTGCCGAGGCACGTCGGGATGACACATGCTATAGTCTATAATTACGATGACAACATCTCCATAAACGTTTCAAAAGCTCGAGCTTAGGCCGCCACCATAATCCGCATCGGTCCACGCCCCGAGCCGAATGAAGAACCGACCGGCAATGTTTCACATCCGATTAGGGTGCATCATCGGCTCTCGCCCACTTCCCTCTCGATAATTTCAAGCACTCTTTGACTCTCTTTTCAAAGTCCTTTTCATCTTTCTCTCATGGTACTTATTTGCTATCGATCTCTCACTCGTAATTAACCTTGGACGGAATTTATCGCCCGATTGGGGTTGCATTCCCAAACAAAACAACTCACGGACAGCGCCTCATGGTGCAACAGGTTCCATCCACGATGGGGCTCTCACCCTCTTCAAGCACCCCCTCTAGGGGCTTGGGCTTGGTCCGTCACCGAGGACGCTTCGCGGACTATAATTCAAACACCACGAGCACTCGATTCTCAAGCTCGGGCACCTTCCGGTTCACTCGCCGTTACTAAGGGAATCCATGTAAGTTTCTTTTCCTCTCGCTTATTGATATGGTTAAACTTAGCGGATAGTCTCGCCCGACACTGGGTTGTAGCGAGAGCATCTTAGCAAAGCCGATGATGCTCAAGGGTTTGGATATCCCAAAACGCAATAGGACATGCGCACGATTGCTTTCGAGGGTTCTTTCAACCACTCGCTCGTCGTGGCGACTCGTCGCCAAGGACTCAATTTTATGACAACCACGAGCGAAAGCACATGCAGGAGACCGGTATTCGCCCTCCCTTGTTAACCGAAAGGGGTTTAGGGGCGACGATGCGTGACACCCAAACAGAGGTGCCCTCGGCCGTTAGGCCTCGAATGTAACTTGTTTTGAAAAACTCGATGGCTCGAGGGATTCTATAATTCACACCAAGTATCACATTTTGCTACATTCTTCATCGATACAAGAGTTGAGATATTCGTTGTCAAGAGTTGTTTAGCTTATCGCGAATTAGAGACGCACCCCTAAAGCACCCTTCGGCGACAGGGGTGTGCTTTTCGTACTCTAATTCCTTGGTGTTTCTCGCATCGGGGGTTTTTTTTAGTTGCATCCGGTGCGGATGCACCCCTCCGAGGCCTCGAGGGATGAGGGGGCAAAAGCCTCCTGCGGCCCTAGCATGCTTAGCCATAAGTTCCCGGTGTCGTTCCGCCGAGCGGGTTTCGACATTGATCCTTCCGCGAGTTCACCTACAAAAACCTTATTACAACTTCTCCTTCTTCTAAATGATAAGGTTCAGCGAAATTCTCATGATGTTGTTGACGATGAATCGCCCATGTCATCGCGATCCAAACACTTCACCGGACCATTTAATCGGTAGCGACGACGGATGGTGTGTACAAAGGGCGGGGACATAATCAATGCGAGTTGATGAGTTACGCTTACTAGGAATTCCTCGTTGAAGTCCAACAATTACAATGATCTATCCCTATCATGATGAAATTTTAAAGACTACCGAGCCTATCGGCCAAATCTATAGACTCGTTGAATACATCGGTGTAGCGCATGTACTGCCTAGAACATCTAAGGGCATCACATACCCGTTATTGCCTCAAACTTCCTTAGCTCGGAAGGCCATAGTCCCTCTAAGAAGGCTGGTTGTGGAGGGTCACCTCCACATAGCTAGTTAGCGGACCGAGGTCTTGTTCATTAATGGAATTAACCGGACAAATCACTCCACCAACTAAGACCAACCATGCACCACCACCCATAGAATCAAGAAAGAGCTCTCGGTAGTAGAAAGTCGGGAGTGAGAAAAAGAGAGAGACGTTCTCCTCCCTCAATGGAGCTCTTTCCCTCAAGATCCGACTTGCTACTATTTGGAATGCTCTAATCTTCTTTCACATTCCACTTTCTTTGCCCTCATCCTTATCCCCATGTAAATATTTTCTCCACCCACTATTTTCTCTCTCTCGACATTCCGTCTTTTTTCTCTAATGGCAAAGAAGAAACGAAAATCTATAACTAAAACTCCTAAGTGCTGTTATAGGGTGAGATTCGAGTTCCCT